GGGGGGGGGGGGGGGGGGGGGGGGGGGGGAAGCAGCGGGAAATCGGTTTTTCTCTGGAGAAATTGCCCAAATGTGGCAGTTTTGAACCCACTACAGAAGCAGAGGTATGCCAGGGGTTGGAGGGTGTCAAAAAATCAAGGGGTCAGCCAGAACTATGTGATCAACCCCCTCCTTTTAAATGTGTTTTGTGTTTGGGTCAGAAAGGAATGGGGCTGCATTGGGGCAGCTGCAGCCCTCCCTTTGACGTTTCTGATGCCCCCGTGAACGCCCCGGGGAGAACATTTGGCCTTGCGCCACACAATCCGGGGTCTTCCCTGCTTTTCCTAGCTCTGCAGGTGTCTTCTGTGCCCCCTGCCTTGCGGGGGCTCCCCTGCCACCGCGTCAGGCACCGTTGCAGAATTGATCCGAGTTTTATGTCCCAGCAAACGCATGGAGTGAAAAATCAACTCAGCGTCCGGGTTAGCCACTCGGGCGGTTCCTGGCAGCCTCCCATGGCAGGCAATCCAAGGACAGATCTGCTGTTTGAACGGAGAGACGGAGGGCTTTTTTATGGGGGGGGGAAAGCGCTTTACAAGCCCAGATGGGATCCCTCGCAAGGGGCGTAGCTGCAGCTCAGGAGAAGAAGGGGGGGGAATCCCTCCAGAGATTGTCATGGAGATGGCTCCCTAGCAAATCTTGGGGAGAAGGGACCACCCGCAAAAAGATTGCTCCAGATGCCCTCCTTTGTCCTCCCCTTGTAAGAAAATGGAGAAAGGAACGTTTTTGAGGAATAGCACGCTGGCACCAACTGATCCTTCCTGGTCAATTATGTACCAGGAAGGAGATAAGGAATAGAGGCAGGGGAATGGCGTGGCGGTCACAAGTGCTTGATTTGGACCAGAGGGACACGGGTTCAAATCATAATCCACCAGGGAAATGCCTGGGTGACGTCAGGCCAATCGCTTTCTCTAACAGTCGCCTGCCTCACAGGGGTGATGTTGCAAGCAAGGCAGGAGGGAAGAGCATTATAAGAGCTTTGAGTTCCCAGAGGAAAGGTGAGAGATAGATCGAATCGATCAAGGAAGTCAAAAAGGGGAAGAATTTGCTCTTCCCTCCCTAAATTGATCTTCAGCGCAGCAACGGGGCGGCCTCTCGAATCAGTCCGCCTTGTGGAGAGCCAGACCTCGCCTGCACATCAAAGCCTAGATTTGTACCCACATTTCAGGGGTGTCTGCAGGTCAAAAAGGTCAAGAGGGGGGCCAGGATGGTGCCCCTGAAGCCCTGCCTGTTTATTGAAGTGCAAAGCACATAATATGCCACGCACATAAAAACGCACATAATGTTGAATGAACATTAAAAAAAAACTACAGGCAGAGCTTTGATGACTCTATCCATCGCGGCTTCCCTCTTGATTCTTTCGAGCGTGCTGCCCCTAAGAAACAGGCAGAGCTTTGACCGGACTGTCGTGGCCTCCACCGTGACTTTTTGGACCACCGTCTGCCGATACCCCTGCCCCCACATTCTGCAGCTCCTCCTTGAAGTGCGCCGCCCTAAACGGCTTCATCCGCCCCGCGTGGGAGCGGCAGAAGGCCCGCCCGCTCGGCAGGCAGGGCGAGGGGGTGCCAGTCGCCAGAGATCGGCGGCCTTTGGGCAGTCCTCCTCTGCGCTCGGCCTCTCTCTGCCGCCACCGAGAGAGCCGAGCGCCAGAGGAACGGTTGCGCGAGCCAAGGCCGCCGTGGGGTGTCTGGTGACAATTGTAGGGTAACTGCTACGTGTTCCAGTAATTGATTTGTTAACAAAAAGCAAGTTAATTTGCAAGCTATAGATCAGCAGCCAAGGATTCAGCAGGGAGGTTTTGAATCGATATATACAAGCCATCCCATCCCTTCGCAGGCCTCCTTCTTCCCAAGTGCGGCATGAAAACAGACGCCGCGGTGGCTGGGCGGGCAGGGCGGGCAGTGCCGGGCCGGGGGCGCGGAAGTGCCATGACCCACAAGACTTTCGCCCTGTCCCCATCCAACCGGATTTTCCGGTTTGGCTGCGCTTTCTGGCCGCAGAGCACGTCAAGCATCGCGACATCCCTGAGGTATCTCCTCCGTGCCACCCGGTGCCACGCTGTTCATCCTGAACAGCAGGCAAAGGCCGTGCTGCTGTTTTACATTACGAGGCGCCTCAGTAAAAGATGGCACGGCTGCAATTCAGATTTCCCTCAGGACTACCCTCCTCCCTTCTGCTTTCCTGTTAAGAGAAAATTAATTATTACAGGAATGGGCTTTGATTTCTCCAGTGGAAAAGAAATGCTCCTCGTATACGGCTTGGCTCGCTTATGGAAGTCATCTGGAATGGCTTTCTCACAGTGCAACTGGCCTTGTCGGCAAGGGGGGAGGGGGCTGGAGATCAGCTGGGCCAGTGAAAATTAAGGGGGTTAGATTTGGTCCCCAGGAGCCCCTGTTTGGGGTTTAGCTGTCTCCCCAAAGTCATCTCTGTCACCCAATCATCTGAATAAAAGGCTAACTATCCCTTTCCTCCTAGGCAGTAGAGAAGACATCCTAGAGGAGCCCTACAAACATGGGACCTCTCTAGGCACCCCCTCTTTGTTGCTCTTTTGCTATTATCCCCCCAAAGTGGCCATAGGCAAAGGGTAAAATGGGCAGAAATGGGTGGGTGCTGCTAGCAGGAGCATTGGGAGGTCAAAAAAGTCAAAATGTCAGCCACGCTGATGCAACAGAAGTCCCCCCTTTTATTCATGTGCCATGACAGCCATCTTGACTTTTTTGACCTCTGTGGACATCCCTGCCTCCCACTGTCAGATGGGGTTTCTGACACTCTAGGCAACAAGCAAAGCAAACTGTAATCATAATAACAATAACAGTAATTTTTAAAGAGAACAGAATATTGTGTACTAGATTATAGGAAAACTAGCAGTTTAGATCAGTGTTTCTCAACCTCGGCCACTTTAAGATGGGTGGACTTCAACTCCCAGACTGGCTGGGGGATTCTGGGAGTTGAAGTCCACCCAT